GGCAGGCAGGCGGGTGGGGAACAAGTGGTATTCTAAATATTCTGAATTCCTTGTCCACTGCCTATCTCCATCAATAAAATCATTAGTTCTCATCTGCCCTGATTCCTCTGAATCCCCAGTTCCTAGCATCTGCTTCAGAAAGTGAAGTCAACAGGGACACAACCAGACTCCAGAGAGTCCGTGCCCAGCCCTAGCGTCGGCCTGGGACGTGGCAAACACTCAGCAAAGTGTTGGTTGCTTTTCAATTAGATCTTAAAACTGTGTTCTTAACCATTGTGTGTCTATAGTAATAACTATAACAACAACAACAATCTGTATATATAAAACCCTAATATGCAAATAGACCGAACAGCAGAACAACCGAACAACTGGTCACTCTGATGTGCGCTGACCACCCGGTGCCAACCCCAATTGCTCGGCACCTTTAGTGGATGCGAGCAGCAGCAGCCAGCCCCGATCATCCCTCAGGGCTCCTTCACCTCCCCCTGCTCCTGAGGGGCAATCAGGACAGCAGCCACTGCTCGCACCCACTGACAGCGCCGGCTCCGCTTGTACTGCTGCTGGCGACAGCCCCAATTGCTCCCCGACGTCAGTGGTTGCGAGCAGGGCCAGCGCCGTCAGTGCGTGGGAGCAGTGGCAATGGGAACTGGGCTGCTGGCAGACAGAGGACCAGGGGCTGCAGTGGGAGGGGCCGGGCAGGGGTGCAGAGGATGGGTTGAGACCTGCCCCTGTGCCCACCACAGCCTCACGGCCCACAGTTCCTTTCAAGGTACACGATGTCATGCACTGGGCCCCTAGTAATAATATACTAGTATAATTACTATAGCCTGGCCAGTGTGACTCAGTGGTTGAGCATTGACCTATGATCCAGGAGGTCACAATTCAATTCCTGGTCAGGGCACATGCCTAGGTTTCAGGATCGATCTCCAGTAGGGAGCGTGCAGGAGGCAGCTAATCCATGTCTCTTTCTTACATATCTCTTCTCTCTCTCTCTCATTAGTTAAAAAAAACCAAATATCTACACAGACACTGGGGTGGGTGAGGGCTTACTCGGGGTGGGAATGGCTGGGGGAGGGTGGTGTCAATCGGGGGGAAAAGGTGACATATGTAAAACTTTAGACAATAAAATAAATAAATAAATAAATAAATAAATAAACCCAATATCTTCTTTATGAGGCCACAATAATCCTGAAAGGTAGACATTTTTATCCTTAGGGACCCAATCCTATATAATAAAGAGCTAATATGCTAATTAGACTGAATAGCCAAACAACCTTCCGGACGTCCTTCCGGATGACCTTCCAGATGAAGCTGGGGTTGCGAGGGGCTGTGAGGGCAGGCCAGGGCTGCAAGGGCCAAGCCCCTTGCACGAATTACGTGCATTGGGCCTCTAGTTCCTACATAAAAGGCAGATGTGGTGACGGTCAAAGAACAGGTGCGAACGAAGTGCCGTGGACCTCAGACGAGGCAGGACACCTGTGGCAGGGAGGCTGGGAGAGGGTCACAGAGGAGAACCTCAGAGGCTGGAGGGCGGAGGGTGCGATCTGGGCGGGGAGGTAATGGGGTGCCGTGGGGACGGGAGAGAGACAGAGGGAGAGCCTGAGGAAGGGCACGGAGTGTTGGGAACTGCACGCTGTTCTCACAAGGGCGACACTGTGGTACAAGAAGTGGTGGGGCTGGAAACGGAGGATAGGGTGGCTTTTGAATGTCAGGGAAGAAATGTAAGCTTCATTTAACAGGCAGTAGGTTTAAGAAGAATGAAAAGATCCAGAATTGAGAACTTTGGGGAGATTGATGTGATTCCAGACTAGAAGGCCAGGTGATGAGGCTGGGACCAGTAAGACGCCTATGGTGCTAGCCAGGAGGTGACGAGAAGAGCCTGGTTTGCGGGGGAGGGGGGGTGTGGGGGGCGGGGGGAGGGGGAGAATGCAGTGAGGGGGAGCAAATGCAGTGGGCAGTCACCTGGCCCAGGTGTGGGGCACGGGGAAGGGCGGTGGCTGCAAGGTCCCAGCCTCGGTGGTTGGTGCCCTTCTGATGCACTTGGTGCACTACTAAGCTACACCTGACAGCCTGATGACCCCCTAACTCAGACAACTCTTCACAGACCCCTCTCGGGAGGGACTGGGACTTTCTCCCTGGAGATGGTCTTTATCCTCCATGAGTCACGACATGTTCTCTCGCCAGGCAGCCTGGCACAAGGTGGGCATTCAAGAAATGTTGACCAAACAGCTCAGTTACCTTGGTTAGTGGCTGAGGCCAGCGTCTTGGTGGCTATCAAAGCTGAATCCAGCTCCTGCCCTCAGGAGCCTGGAGGCGGAGGAAGTTAACCAAGTGCATGTGCTCCGGGAGGGGCCGTGTCCATCCTGCTCCGGTGACTGAATGCGGGAGCGGGGCCTGCTCGGTGTGCATGCCTCTCGCAGACGCCCGGGGCCACCGGTGGCTGCCACAGGCTCAGAACCTACACAAACTGACGCTGCAATGACCTCCCCACCAAACCTGGGTTGAGGGAATTACACTGAATTTGGCAGACATTTGGGGGGAGGGGGGTGGAATGACTTAAAATTTAGGTGTTACATGAAATTCACTTGTGTGTGCGTGCATGTGCATGTGTGTGTGTGCATGTGTGTGTGTGTGTGCGTGCGCGTGCATGTGCATGCATGTGTGTGTGCGTGCATGCATGTGTGTGTGAAGGGGTGGTTTCTGGTTTGCACACGGCAGACCTGCCGAGCAGCCAGAGCCGAGGGAAGACTGGCCTCGGAAAGCAGACTGTGCTTTGAATCGCGAGCCCGAGGCACAGCTCCTCGAAGTGCATGACCCCAAACCCAGGTGCACATTTGTGTTCAGGATTCTGCTCACCAGAGAAACTTTGTGTAGAGGCTTGAAGGCAGGTGGTGGCGGCCTTCGTTACTTAATTGTCGTTGGTAATAATTCCCCCAAGCGCACACCAGGGGGGTCCAAAGCCACCCATAGCAACCTCTTCCGGAGGATTCCCACACCAGGAGTCTCCAGCACCCCATGTCACAGCGCTGTCACGGCTCCCTGCGGGGCTGGGGGGAGGGGTGGCCCTTGCTGTGGGACGTGTCCGTGCGCCCTTGCAGAGCCTCTCCGCCAGGGGCCGCACCTCCGCTGCCCGCGAGGCCCGCTGAGGGCACTGCAGCACCAGCCCCTTCCCTCTGGGTTGTCCCGAGGGAGGCAGAGGACGGAAGACTACGCCAGAGAGACTGACCCCTCTGGGCTGCCTGGGGGCTCCCGGCAGGCTGGCTCCCAGGCCAGCGTCTCCGTTCCTGTGGGACGCGCCTGCCAGATGCTGCTGATCGCCTTGTTTCTTCCGAGCCTCAAGTTTAAATTTTCCTTCCAGGATCTCATCTCTGAGGCCCCCCAAAAATGTTCTCTGTCGATGATTCTCTCTTTCTTCTCTCTCTCTCTCTCTCTCTCTCTCTCTCTCTCAACATATCCTTGGGTAACAAATTTAAAAAATTTGCCCTAATGTTGAAAGCACTAAAAGTGACCAGGAGGAAGAGAAATATTGGACAATTAACCAATTTAATGCA